CCAAACGAGATGAAACACCCTCGCTTTGTCCGAGCCACAAACAAACGTATAGTAATCCACCTGGCTAGGCTTGAACGTCCTGTCAAATAGATAGATAAATGTTTCCGGATCGCGGTTAAGACGCCTTGGCGGTGCCTTTGTTATGTAGCACACGAAAAAATCGTCGCCGTCGGTTCCTTCATCCAAGCATTAGCCTGCCGTCCGCATGCACTTTGGCTGAAATGTAAAAGCTTCGACCTCCGTCTCGGTTTCATTGTACGCTTTGGCCCAGGTCATTTTCTCCAGCGTTTATGTCGTCGCTATTGTTCATGTTTGTCTTGCGGTAATAAAAAACAAGATTTTGCAGCTTGGTTAGCGAAGGAACCAAAACCTCAGTTTCACCAGCAACTCTGTTCCGAATTTGAACAGGCTTGACGAAAATCTGAGCCAGAGAGCGGGCCATATTTTTATCCTTCTCAGTTAACTTTCCACTCGGTCGGTCCACACATGTGGATAAATGCCGTCCAACATCAAAATTGCCGATGATACTACGGTGGAGGCAGGTTAGTACCTTGGCCCGCCAAGGACACTTGCGGCCATCTTCACTAGCAATAGTGCACGTTAGATATACGCACTTTATATTACGGTATCTCATTGTGTGTGGGTCATCTCTTGAGCACATTGAGCAACCCACGATGTTACTGTCGGTAAATTTAAGGTGCCTTTGGGATCTTAACTCATCAACTGTGACTTTAGCTTCTTCGGCGGACAAATGCTTATTGAGCACAACCCACGAAAGCACGTGTGACATCCCGTCTGTCTGAACATTTCAACAACAACGTTGAGCGCCAGCATCACACCAAACATATAATGATGACACAGAGCACTAGCTAGTCGATTCAGGTCGGCGTATAACTATTCTCTTGAAGCTCACTTCGGGTACGCAGGGCTGCTGATGATCTCTTCCCGACTGGCTACTGAAGCGTGCTGAGCTACGTGGCTGGTATCGTGCCCTTACCTTCACAAATGTGATTGGTCCTTAGATTATGCTTCTACAGCGATTATTGGCTATGATGCTTTTATGAGTAGGACCTGCTTTTGATACAGTGCTCCTCGTGGACGATTCACAGATTCTATGGAATAACTTCGCCTTATGTGTATTTGTCTTGCATCTTGTGGATTTCTCCCATCTTTGTGGACTGTTCATAGAACTATAATATCACTGTTTTTTACTTGTTCTCGCGGATCCTCTTTTTGTGCACTGAAACTCAGCTCCACCGAAAGGACTCTAATGTCTGGTACTGTGCATGTCGTGCACAATATAAAGAAGAAAAACTGTGCAAGCAGTCGCTGTTTGAATGCCGCTCTTGTCCGACTGGCTGAGAAATGTCCATAATCCAGTACTAGTGTACTGGATTCTGAAAATTGGCGAGTTAATTAAGAATTTGGATTAGAACAACAGTACAGCCCCGGTAAGCTCGCGCCACGTAAAAATCCAGTACACTGTTTAAGTACGCACACCGGACAGCAAATATTGCAGCATTTTATGAACTTAATTTTAATACTCGCAATACAAGTAATGAGATGAAGCATGTGTCCAGTATCCAATTAAAAGTGTCCTGATAAGAAATTTCACCAATTTTTAAAATAGTCATAGAATGGTACTTGGACACAGTCTTTTATGCGATTGTGTCCTGGAAAATATTTTTACTATGAAAAAAATTCTATGGCAAAAGTAATTTTGCCGTTGCAATTTTGAATTAGCTTGCACCAAAACCTGTGTGTGTGTTCGTGGCTGTTGGTTATCTTTATAGTACCGTGTTATTTGTGAACTTTGGTATGTGCCTCTCCCCCTGTCGTGTCATTTTGGGAATGACGTCTCCAACAGCACGTTGTCTGTCAAATGCCAATTCTCCTCCAGAACTAACTGCCGACGCACGTATCGATGAGACTGATGCTGCAGAAGGCACGGCGCAACGTTCTGCTCAAGCTGGTAGCAATCTGCAGGGCCCCCGAAAAAAAAATTGACGACACAGTAATTTCAATAAAAAAGCAGACATTATTTATGTTGTCACCCTAAACTAGGCTCGTGCATAATTTATGGTGGCTGCATATTACATACGGTAATTTATGCGTACAGTTTCCTGAAGTTATCTGCAGCAGTCAATCGATCGCCACGAACCAGTCGTTTTGTTGCCGAATCGGCTGATCTCAGCAGACTCATTTTCTTTTCTCTCACTTCCCACGCCGACACTCCCGTTACCATGGTCTTCTCGTCTCGACGCAGTGTGCGCTCCACGTTCACGCCAGCACAAATTGCTGCGTTCTTCTTTCAACCGTGCCGCGACGAGCTCGATGAAGTCATCCTCGAGTACTACCGCTGTCGTTGCGGCACAGTTCGAAAGCAGGCTAGCCGCAATGGCTTTTTTAACCTGGTATCGCACGTTCGAAGCGAGCACCCAACCCATGAGAGCCTCATGCTCGCCGCCAGCTCGGCCGAGACGGAATCTATCCTCAACTACGTGCGGCGCTCCTCTCTCAATCTATTCAGCTAAATGGAGTGGATCCTAAAGAGCAATCTTCCGCTGTCATTCTGTGAGAATGAGGCGGCCAAAAGGTAAGTCATACGCATTTCTAAAGTTGCCTATGAATTTCTAACTTCTGTTTCTATTTGCTTTCTATAGGTACTCTAACCTTGACTCAATTTGTGTCGAGACGCTCGTCTCTGGCATGAGTAGTGTGACGCGGGCCGTGGAGCGTGGCATCGCTGAAGAGATGCCTGACCTTTTTGGGCTAATCTTTGATGGGTGGTCTCATACTTCAGAGCATTACATTGCAGTGTATGCTCGCTACGAGGTGGACGGGGTCGTCAAGACTCCTCTTCTTTGTATGGCTCCACTGCTCAACGAGGAGGAGGAAGACCTCTCCGCCCGCGGCCACATGGAGTTTCTTGCCACTATGCTGCCTCGGGACTACGGCAAGCAGCTGGGCCAGTGCTGTTTCCTGGTGGGAGACAAGTGCTCGGTTAACCGGCGGCTCGCAACGCTGATGGGTGTGCCGCTAATCGGCTGTGCCAGCCACCGCCTTAACCGAGCAGTGCAAGCTGACATGCAAGACTATGAGGACGAGCTGGATGCTGTCCAAAAGTTAATGATCAAGCTTTGTAACCTGAAGCAAAGTGCCAAACTGAGGTAAGTTTGAACTGATAATGATGTAGTTAGAAACGTTTCTAATTGGGTTTTTATTTTGAATGTAGAACTAAAACGCCGCTCCGTCCAGTTATCCGCCAATATATTCGATGGAGCTCCACTTTCGCTATGGTGATGCGGTACTTCACACTGCTGGGGTTTATCGACAGCAATGACGACGACATCGCAGATTTGCTGCCGTCCCCTTCGTACAACCGCCGTTTGCGTGCTCTGCTAGCAGACTTGAAGAAGGTTGAGTCCGTTGCAAAAGCTTTGCAGGAAACGAAGTATCACTACTTGATGCTCGAGTGTGGCTGGATGGCTTGATTTCCATCAAACCACACTACGCTCGGTACATTGGTACGTGCAGCATATTTTTTCCTTTTCTAGTATCCATTGCTAATTTGTTTTGTATTCACTATGAACACTAGGCCCACGCGCTGAAATTGTTCACAGCCCTGACTTTGAGTCAGGGTGTGTACGGGTCTGAGGCGGCAATGCAGCCCGCCTCACGCGAGCTGAAAAAACAGTGTTGACTCCGTTCAAGTCGACAGGCCCTCCTGCAGTGAGTGAAGACGAGGACGACGGCGAAGATTCGTTCGTCCAGCTGCTTCAAAAGAGACCAAGTACAAGCTCTTGCATGCAATCCCTGCGACGTCCAACGTGGTGGAGCGCTTTTTTAGCGTTGCTCGTACCACGTTTGGCCAAGAACGCCATGGACTGCAGCCCATTACTTTAGAAATGATTCTCTTCCTGCGCGAAAATGCTGGTTACTGGGACGCACAAACACTTGACACAGCAACTAGAGCGTAGATACCTGTTATTGATTCAATAAACCTTGGTTATTGCAGCAGTAACTCAATTATTTATTGGTCTTCTAGCTAAAGCATCATAACGTATTGCCAACATACAAGCTAGCTTCGCGATAATTTATCGTGAAGATGCTACTACGATAAATAACAATATCATTTTCGGACCCCCTGGCAATCTGTACCATCTCAGACAAGTTTGGCAAAAGAACTTCAATCGAAAGGCAAGCGGATCTTTCTACAAGCTCAAGATTAAAAAAAACCTCACTGCGCGGACTCTCAGTAGCGAAGAGGCTTGGACAACAACGGCGATCGGTCAGAGGGGGTCGGGTCTGTTTGACAGTAGTCGAGCTCGACGCGGAAGGAGCGAAGAGCTCTACGATGTAGAACGCCTCTACGCCAAGCGCTAATTTCATAATTTAGAGTCTTATCTGGTGCAATGGGTTGGTTATCGCGAATTAACATGGGAGTCCGCCAAAAACCCTCCGTGGTAGCTTAAAGTCGACTTTGAGTTAGAGACAAGAGGAAGACGGGGCTAAAGATTACCTACACGATGCAGCGAATTAGCTTAAGTTCGTAAAAATTAAAACACGAACGTAAAATGTACTGGAAACAGTACTAATAGTACTGTACTATTACATGTAATAGACACCTCCTTTTCTAAAAAACAATACACTGGTACTGGATAATGGAAATTCCTCCCGACTGGCTCAACCAACTTTCACCCATTCTGAAATAAAGCTTCGAATTTCAGTACGGTACGTATCTCGGCTGCATAATATTTGCTGTATCTCCACTTTAAGTACGATTCCAGAGCGGCTCTCAAATTACTTGAATTTTGTAAGCGAGGACCTCTCCAAACGGCATATTTAGACGGAAGTTGACATTAAGGGCTGTTGTTATACTCGGTACAGTCACCTTGCGATCGTATTGCTGTGTGTGGAAGCAATGAATGTGTGTCTAGACGTAAGCAGAGGTCAAGGCAGAAACGCTTTCGTACTCTACAGGCGAAACAGTGAAGAGATCATGCTGCCGCTGCGGCTGCCTTCGCCGCCTTGACCTCTTTATCTCTCTGGGCCCATTTATAAAATGCGTTGTACTGAACCGATAGATCGTGGTTCTTCGTGTTCACCACGGCACCTTCTCCTGCCTTCAGCATCGCCTTGACATCGTTCGGAGTTTTGTTCTGCTTAAACCAGAGCTCAAACTTTGCCATTGTGTAGCGCTCGCCAATTGTGTGTTCTCCAACCTTGTAGGTTTTGATTTTCTCCACGAATGCCTTGAGTTTGGCAATGAAGTTTTTAACGCTCGAGACTGTCTTTAGCTTCTCTGCGATCGGTTTGAAAATCGGAATGAGTTTATCTGCAACCGGCTTCAGCTTTCCTGTGAACGCGTCAGTAATCGGCTTGAGTCTCACCGCGATGGCCATCGACTTGTCCACCAGATTTGCTGTCGTTGGAACGAGAGATTTAAGCTTGCCTGTAGTTGGTTTCAGCTTTTCCGAGAGTTTGGTTGCTCCAGACGGGAGGGCTCGCTCCTCTTCATCTTCCGAGTCGGCGGCAATCTCGACTCGATGCAATCGCTTGGCATTCACTACGCTTACGTCGGTCTGCAGCACACGAGCTTCGACGGGGTTTCTGGGAGTGTTCTCTATAGCGAGTGCCACCTGGTTCGATTCCGTCCCAGCCAAGACAGCATTCTTAGAAGCAAAAAGAGTGATCAAAGTCGCCGCCACGAGGTAAGGTATACGCATGACGGAGTATGTGGAGCGGCCTCAAATGCTATTGACTGGCCTGATCGGGAAATGAATGTACATAACACACGCAAGAAAAAGAGTTATGGTCACGTCAGCACGAGCACTTCTGGAAGATGAGGAATGATTCTCTACAGTACTGGGATTGTCTAAGGAGGGCCATTTCAAATCTGCAGCCAATTTCAAAAAAAGACCAGCGTGAACAAAACAAAGTCTGACCAGATCTGGCTTCATTCTGACTGCTTACAAAGTCCAACTACAAAGCTGCGCGTTTCCGGCCCAGATTGGTATTTCCGTCCCACGCCAACTCCGTTTCCGTCTCAAACCAGCGTTGGCGTCCCACTTCGAGATGGTGTCCAATCGAGCCAAGCCTTCACTTCCTGACCGAGGTTATCAAGTGGTATACCTAGACTTGTCCAACCTCGTTCTGGCGGTTCTGCTCAATGAAGCCAAAGAACGTGACTACAGATCTGTCTTCGCTGAAGTCGGGGCTGAAAACGACGACAGCTTTAGGGCCCAATCCCGTGTAAATCCTCGTGAGTCGTCAGCGGCGATCAACGAACTGAGCCGAGCCCTTCGCGCCAGCACAGCTTGTATAAACCCACGGTGGATTCCTCGCGAGTTTTCGTACATGCGATCACTTCCAGGCGGAGTGGAGCAGGAACCACACATGGACTACCCACCGCCGGTTGTTAATACCACAGCAAACAAGCGATACCAGCGTATTCCTGCCAGCATGCTGCTAGCACTTCAACCTGGCACCAGTTTGCGTGTGTTCGACGGTTGCTTTACTATTCGTGATGATTCGAAAGCTCGCAAAGTGGAGATTCCTGTTGGATACGCTCTGATATTTCGTGGAGACCTGATTCATTCTGGAATGGCCTACTCGATTGAAAACTTTCGAGTTCACTGCTACCTAGCATACGACAAAATGTCTTGGGAGCCTGACATTGTGTCGAGTGTTTTACCTAAGACTTACAGTTGTGCTTTCTGTAACCTAGAGCTGACTGAAAGCAGTAAAATGAGGACACATCGGTTTTACTGTACCAAAAATCCGAACGGGCAGGCAAATAGGAACAAGAGAAAGAGAGAAGATCAAGCAAGTGGCTTACGCGTCTGTAGTGTGTGCGGTAAAGGATATACCAATCCGAGCTCCTATCGCACTCACATTTCGCGACCTCACGCAGATATAGAAGTGTAGGACAGTCTCTTTTTAAGGCAATACAACGGTTGGACACCTGCATCACTTATTTTGCACTTAATGACTGCCCTGAACTGAGTAACTATCAAGTTGAAGTTGTAAAAAGTATACATTTTCTTATTTTGCGTTGATATCATTTTGCTACCAGATTAATATTATCAACTCATTCACTCCATCCAGCGTACCCCCAAGAACGAGGCGGAAGGTATGGCTGCTCATACGACGCATTGTCAGGATCTTGCATTGGTACTACGTTCTGCAATGGTGGCAGCATAACTATATGGTTGAGAACACCATTGCTGCGTAAAGCGCCAGGAGGAGAAGCCGGATGATTTAGATCTATCCGCTCGCTGAAAGTAGCTTCGCGTCTCGTACTGTGCGTGCCCATGTTGGCCCGATGCGTGGATCGGGCGCTTGAATTTCTAGTTCTTGTTGTCGTCACAATGGAAGCAGACTCCAATATGCGTCGGACTTTACTGACAGGGATAAATCGATTGATCCACCAGTGTTTTACAAAGTGTTGAGGCAGAAGCCGAAGACGACCGTTCGATTCTATGATGGCTATGAGATCATGCAAGCATGGCCTCCCATGAATCGACTTGAACGTTCCCGAACATGAAGACCGATTCAGTCGGTTGTAGACAATCTTGCACGCATCTCTCCACAAGGCTTCTGTCAAGATCAGAGCATGAACTGAGACAACCCTCACCACAGCAGCATACCTGCTCGGCTGGAGAAGAAATGGCGTGATGACAGCGTTGCGTGTCGAGAGTAGTCGTAGATCTGATATAGCTCCTTTCCACCATGGCAAGAGACTGTTGAACACTGTGTACAGGTCTCCACGACTGTTGCCGAGCCACGACATACATTTGGCATGTGTACCTTCGACGATCGACGTATCCCGAACCCCAAAGTGTTGATATTTATCTGTCCACGCCTTGACAATTCTCGCCTTGTATTTCCACCACGTTGTGTCCAGATACGAAGCCAGGTACAAACTGTGGTCCTTCATCTTTGCTCGGAGCGTTTCAAACTCAGACTCGGTGTCGGCATCGACTGCCTTGAAAAAAGCAGTCATGAAAGAGTTTGTTTCCAACGTATTTTGTTTCGAGGAGATTCCTGTGAACGGATCTATAACCGACACCTGTCCGAGGTGCTTCCGGGCCATAGCTTCTACATTTTTGTTCATGTGCCATCGCCAAACCATTGCTGGAATTCCTTTGAATACATGGTCGTTTGCATTCATGCAAGCCTGCTCTCTGTCAGTGAGAACTACACCGGGCTCTTCCACGTCTTTTTCGATCATGAAGAGACGCAGCATGTTCAACGCCCACGTGTAGTCTTCTTCTTTTTCGCTGGGCAGCCAGCACTGACCTACCGGTAAGGCAGTGTTTAATCCAGTCACAGCTATGATGTTGAGCAACGGAATCTTGTACTTATTGGTTTTGTACGTGCAGTCCATGACCAAGACGTCATGGTGCCGCCTGAACCAATCTCCAACACCGTGGTGAGCCCAGAAGAGATACCGCACCTCCAGCGTTTCTTCGTTTAACGAGTAGCGAAAGGAAAATCCCTCCTCAGTAAGATCCGAGAAAAGGGCCTCCATGACTGTATGCGTGGACATCACACGACGTCTCACAGCATTTTGAGTGTTTGTGATATTCTTGGGAGTGACAAATGAGTTGGGGTCCGCTCGCATCAGTGTAGCACGAATGCTGGCAACAGACACACCAGCCGCAGTCTGGGCTTCCACAAGCGACTGCACAGTTTGGCCCCCGGTGAAAGAAGTACTCGCAGCTGCACGTTGTCGATGACACGCGTGGACACGGGCATCTTCAGACAGAGGATGATTGTGAAGTCGGCTTCCATTTCTGGTGTGGACAATCTGCCACGGCCCTTGTGGGTCCGACGCCAAAGCAGCTTTGATGACAAGCTTCATGTTGCACCCCATTCTTTTCGACCCTCGCATAGGCCTAACACGATCTGCAACCAGCAAGTGCTGTGTCTCTTTCGGCTTATCCGACCGATCGCAGTCGAGGCCTCTTTTCCAGACGAAGGTCTTAGCATCGTCCGTGTAGAATGCACGCCGTTTTGTCATGTTGAACCCGTGCTGCCTACTCCAGCGATGCACAGCGGCCAGAGCTTCAGACTCCGACTGAAACATCTCTTCAGGTGGCGGTGGAATGACGAAGCAGGTCATTTCCACTTCAGCGTCCGTGATGCTGTTTGAGTTACGAATGGCCGTGTCGGTCATTTAGAAGAAGCGTTGGTCTAGTTTAGTGGCTGTAGTTGTGATGCTGAGCTCGGTTATAAAAGTGAATGAGGCTAGCCAAACGTTAACTTTCGAACCACCTATACCATTCGCATGTCAGAGATATGCATTGATGGACGGTATAAAATGCAATAGCTGTCGTTGGTTTTCCACACGTATCAATCACACGGACATTTGGAATCAGGTGCTCGTCTACCGATTTGGTTGAAGTCGAAACGCCCAACCACTGACTTTGTTTTGTTCACGCTGGTCTTTTTTTGAAATGGCTATAGATTTGAAAGGGACCTCCTTAGACAGTCCCTACAGTACTGTGCCGTACTTCGATGTCATATGTTTGCAAGAGTACCGTACTCACTAGGCTATACCATGGTAAAAAGAGCTGGCGCTGCCAGTCAAATGACAAAAAAACAAAGCTTACTCTATTGCTTCAAGCAAAAAAGGCAACTATGAAAGGAGAAGGCACGCATGGCTCATGGTACGACACTCGGTGTATGTATAATATCGGTATTGAATAGCTAAAGACTTCTTGTTTTTAAAATTAACACCGAAAGTCTTGCGCCTACATCCCGGTCCACATCCCATTGTCGATCCTGGTGTGCGCAGAAACGGCGTTCATCTGGTGTTCTGTCAAAACTTCTGACTCCGTAAAAGCTCCGTTGCCGTTGGAATTCCATGTACAATATAAAAATAACAATGAGCTACAGATTAACCTTCTTGCCAATGTTCAGGTGCTCTTCATAGTCCTTGAACTTTGCAAGCACCAGTTCATCATAATATATTATATTGTCCATCGAGACTATCGCGCAGGCATACATGTACCGATAACTTGGCAACTGGCAGAATTTCAGTACTTTTTAAAGGCACATGTATTAATAAACGAGTTATAATTTTAAAACTTGAGGTAACTCATTAACAAAAGCAGAAAACGGATACAGTTATTTAGTGTTCCATTGGAAGTGCCCCAAAGTTGACACAAATGCAAGAAATACGACGCGCGTAAATCCAACGCAAATCTAGCGTATTTTGTTGAGACGTATTTCACGTTTGCGTCGGCGCAAATGTGGCCCACACAGCTGCTACTATAAGGCAGAAACATTCAACTCCTTTTCGTCTCAACCTGCCCATGGGAAACAATCGAGTGGCCGCGGCAAATGCTTTACAATGCCTCTAGTCGAGGCTGTACTAGTACCCTTTTCTCCCAAGATCTTCGCAGCGCATCTGCAACAATAAGCCACAAAATGTCGGGCTTTATCGTTGTAAAGTCGTTTTTTCTAGTACTACGTCGATGTGGACCACATTCCAGTTTTGTGTTGTTTGAAAAATTAGGCATGAAATCAGTACAGTACTGCACCCCGTCTTCGCGGGGATGGACCATTTAGGATATGCAAATAAATTAGATTTTAGCAAACAAATTATATTTCATTTGGATTCAGGATCATCATATCCGGAAGTTTATCATATTGATAGGTCCAAGGGCGCGAAAATGGGGTGCAGTACTGTATCAATATCTTTGGGGAAAACGTCAGAACGTGTATCATCCTGAAACGTTTTGTCAGTATGTGTGAAACGTGTGTCAATAGGTGTATGGGCTGCCATCGGTATTGACAGTATGTGACAGTCTCAAAACAAACGCCAACAGGTGTATGAAAGTGAGGTTTGTGTGTCAAAATGTGTAGTGCACTATAGATCACTGGCCGAGAAGTGGCTACAGTGGGTTTGGTCCAAACCCACAAATCGCGACGTTCAGCGACCTACCTCCCACAGCCCCAAGGCAAACTCGCACACTTTGCGCTTCCATAAACGAATATTGCGACTGAGGGACAACAATGGATGTCGACGTGGATGATATCAGTGAGGGTAGCGACTCAAGCGGTTCAGCGTGCTTGACGGTTGGCATGGTATTTGAGTCAGCAACGGACGCTCTCCATGCTGTACAAGACTATGCTCTTAGCCTCGGAAAGGCAGTCAAGGTCAGGCAACGAAGTGGAGTCCACAGACTCATTGGGTGTAGCTCTGATGGATGCGAGTTTTCCGTGCGTGTGTATCGGAAACGTCGATCTGACAAGACGTATGGACCGTGGTACATTTCTTCAATTGCTAATGACCATGTCAACTGTCTGTCAATCGCTAATCCAACCCGAAGGCAGATAACAGAGCTTCCAACTTTTATAAGTGCTGTGAGTGCTGACGGCAGCGTCACAGCAGGCGCACTCATTGATCAGATCCAGTCTAGAGATGGAATTTCGCTTGGAAATAAGCGACGAACACTTTACCGTGCCAAAGAAGCCGTTGATGACATCAGTAAGGAGGATCTAGTGCAGTCGTACAGCAAAATTCCAAGTTACCTCTCGAACTTTTCGGAGTTAAACCCTGGGAGCATCGCTCTAGCGGAAAAGGACTCATTGGGACATTTCAAACGAGCGATTGTGATTGTAAAGGTGTTTGCGGATGCTGCTCGAGCGCGTCAAGGAGTTGTTGGGGCTGATTGTAGCCATTCCAAATGCCCATCGTACAGTGGAGTGCAAATGCATCTCGCTGGCAGAGATGGAAACTTAAGGAACGTGACTATTGCCTTTGGCTTGGTGGAGGCGGAAGACTTTGACAACTACAAGTGGTTTTTTTCGACCTTGGATAAACACGGGTACAGCTTTCGAGGAGTTCCGATGTTTTGTGATCGCAGCGGCTCTCTAATATCCGTGGCGACTGAAATGCGTCTGAATCTAAAGTATTGTACACTTCACATTATTCGCAATCTCCTAGGGCGCTTTCGCAAGTTTACACACGGACACAAGAATCTCGTTTGGTCGCTACAAAGCTCGGATACAAAAGAACTGTACACCAGTCGGCTGGAGTGGATTGGATTGTCGAGAGCGTATTAGGTACTCAGCTTGTGAAGGGTATGAGAAAGCTACCTCCGTATCGATTTATTCAAGCAATGTGCGGTTCTTTTGTTGACGAATGCTTCAAGCGATCCGAAAATGCTAGATTGTGGGCAGATAAAGGTTTCGTTTTGACACCTGGGGCCGAAAAGCTACACAGAAAACAGAGTGCAGACATTGGCCAATCCTCGGTCCAACATGCTTCGAATGATGTTTGCTACGTGCACTCAGTATGCAGCTCAGTACGAATCCGACGCCGAGTGAATTTGCGGAACGGGACTTGTACGTGTAGCTACGTCGATCAAATGGGCATGCCGTGTAGGCACCTAATCGCGGCGCTTGAAAGTGTTGGCAACCGTTTGGACGTGTACACACACTTTCAGCCGTGTTATAAAGTGTCGGTGTATGCCAATGCATTTCACGCTAAAGCTGTCTCTATACCGCTAGAATCCGACATCACCCAGAGTTCCGAATGGCTACCTGCAGTTTTCACAAAGAAACCGGGACGCCCCAAGACGAAGCGCATAAGAAGTGTTGGAGAGGACGGGAATAGAACTTCACAGAGTTGCTCAAGTTGCCATCGGAAAGGCCACAACAAGCGTTCATGCACGCAACCGGATAGCACATAACACATTCAAAAAGAGTGTCCCTCAGTCGCTATAGAGCAACAAAGAAGTCAATTTCGTGTGTTTTTTTGTTTTTTTTGAACATGTAGAAGATCACTCAACTCCGGGTATAGGTCCGTAATGAAAGGAAGTGCTTTGACTTCACGTCGGCTCTCCGCCCCAGTCTTCCTTACACGCGAAATACACGGGCCTCTGTAGCATGGCCCCCTCCAGAAGGAGGCAAACTCGCCAAGGGGCGCCGTTTTCATCACTCCACAGCGGTAAGCCCGCTTAAATTCTCGGACTGGGGCCCGCCTCTTCATGTACCGGTGTTTCCTGCTCTTCGCCTTGAAATACCCGACTTTAGATGAATGCGCAACGCGTGAGATGCGCTCTTACTCTGCGTACAGCGGCGCAGTTCTCTTCGACAGCGCCGCAGCTCGCGCCATCTCGGCGTCTCTCACTTGCTGGAATGTGATTGTCTCGTAAATGGGCCGAGGCTTCTGTGCTGAACAATGGGTTTCGCCCTATTTATCCCCAAAACTTGTGACAGTATGTGTGCTCGGTTCAAACCTGCCGGTGACCATCACTCTGACTGGTTCTGTAACCGCTTATGACACACGTTTGCCCAATTGGTACACGTTCTGACATTTTCCCATAACTCTGCTGGCAACGTATACATGTATTTACTTCGAAGAAAAGGTAGTCTTGTTAAGCAACTACCGGCATTGATCTATTAGAGAACTGTAGTTTCTGGAGGTTATGGAGCTAATCGAGGGTTACGAAGCGTCGCTCCAAAGTAGACTCCATGGAGCTAGAGCGACCTCTCATAAGTCAGGTATTGGAGCATCTCAAACTATCCACTCGAAAATCTATTACAGCTCGATTTATCAGCCAGTGTAGCTCGATCGATTTGTACTTTTTATAGACCTCGATTTAATAAAACGACCTCTATTTATTATAAATCGAGCATCAAGCTAAGTAAAAGCATCAATACTTACACGAACAAGAACGCAAAAGAGATTATTGGCATCATACAAATGTAGCAGTATCACTCAGCAACGAGGCTGCTTCAAATCGCTTCCAACCACTTGGCCAAGTCGTTGCGGTTGCGCTGGTAGCAAGCGCCCTTCACTCGAATACGCTCCAGTGCGGCGTCCAACAATCGCGTGTACGATGAGTGCTTCCTCGTCTCCAAGAAGGTCTCAACGTCCTGTGCATGACCTTCACTCTGGAAACGCGAGACCACGGACATGACGATGCGGCCCACGATCAAGGGGCGATACTGCTCATTAAGCTCCGTCCAGTGCTCCTGCACATATTTCCACGCAAACTCTGCGCCTGAAGCATCCGCTGCGACACTACTGAAAACGTACTGGATGTCCTGTGAGCGGACGTTCTTGAGCCCCCACGCAATCACCTCACGCTTGCGCTCCAGCGACTTGAACAGACCCAGCGCAGTGAGACAGTCCAGTTTCTCCTCGATAAAGTTACTGGCCTCGTACCGTTCACGCAGCAGCTTCAAGTGAGACGCATCACCTCGTCTCGCCTGGGCGTTAAAGACAACACCACGCAGATCAGCCGACAGCGCAGAGCTGTCCTCAAAGTACGCTTGGAACAGACGCTGGGTCTCGGCGATTACTTGTGGGTCGTCCCCTAGCGCGAGCATACTGATGACATCACGTCGGAACGGAGCCACCGTCGAGCTTTCGCCTTCTGCCGCCTCCCACGTCAGTCTCTTCATGATCGACGCGAAGAGCTGACGGATGTAGGCCTGTAGCTTCGGGTAGAACGAGTCAGCGCTGTAAAGGGTGCTGTAGAAGCGCAGGTTGGATGAGATCTCCTTCCAGCACAGATGCTCCGGTTCTTCGGCGTATGCGAAGCTGAAGTCCAAAGCGCGCGTTACTGGTAGCTCACCGCTACGAGCAAATGCGAAGATGCTGTTCAGCAAGCTCATGCGGTCCACAGCTCCCAGCATTTTTTCACGAACAGGCTGCTGCAGACGCTTCCAGCCTTCTGGGGAGTAGTTGACGAGGAAGAACCCAGCCTGGTTCGCATTCAACTTAATCCACGATGAGGTGTCAGCACGTGCACGCAATTTATCCGCCAAAGCAGCAGTAGCTTCCTTCGACGCATTGCGCTCCCAGATCCCCACGCGTTGGATCTCCTTCGGCTTGTCCGAAGCCACGAAAGTCAGCGGCACATCCCACGCGACCTTTTCCTCCGCCTTTTCCTTAAGAGTTTGGTCCGCCAAGAAGCGTTCCTGGACCAAAGTGCCGTCCTCGGACAACGTCACCATCGGGTATCCGGTCTGACTGGTCCAGCCACTGGCCAGCGATTTAATGTGCTGACCTGAAGCCTGTTCCAGTGACTCCCACAGATCCTGCGTCTGTGCGTTCCGGTAGCTGAACTTGACCAGGTATTCGTGAATACCGCGGTAAAAGACGTCGCGACCAAGATATTCCGACAGCATGCGGATGACACTGGCACCCTTGGCGTACGAGATGACGTCAAAGATCTGGTCTACCTCGTCTGGGTGGTTCACCCTGACCTCGATCGGATGGGACGTGAGCATGCAGTCCTTGCCCATCGCGACACTCATCGTGATGTCCTGAACAAACACTTCCCACACATTCCACTCGGGGAAGATACTGTGCACCGCCTCAAACTCCATGAAGCGAGCAAAGCCCTCGTTGAGCCACAGACCTGTCCACCACTCCATCGTCACCAAGTTGCCGAACCATTGGTGGGCGATCTCATGACACACAGTCCTCGCTGTAGCCATCTTCTGTCCGAAGCTGCTCAGTTGCTCGTCAATCAAAAGTCTCGTCTCACGATACGTAACGACCCCCCAGTTCTCCATAGCTCCAGCTGCGAAGTCGGGGATAGCCAACATATCCATCTTCTTCAAAGGGTACGGGATGCCGAATCTTTCGGTGTAAAAGGACAGCGCTCGAGCCCCCACCTCAAGAGCAAATTTGCCACGATCACTGCGCCCCACTGGTGTATACACTGACACGAGCACGCCCTCTTTGGTGACAGTGGACACCGAGTCGAACTCGCCTACGATCATCCCCACTAAGTACGTGGACATGATAGGCGTCTCGGCAAACCTCCAGACCTTCTCGAGTGTTGAGCTTTGGGGTCGTGACTGAGTTCGGATGTGCGCGTTATTGGCTCGAGGTCGCACGAGCGTCTGGACTACGTGGGCATTGGAAATGGCCGTCAACTCGACGTCGCAAGAGAGCGAGATCTCGAACTTCGCCTTAATGGCAGGCTCATCCCAGCACACGAAGGCGCGGCGTGCGTCACAGGCCTCAAACTGCGTCACGGCCATGAGGCGCGTCTCACCCGCCAGCTCGTGGTCGTACGCGCTTCGGTAGAAGCCGTGAAGCTTGTTGTTGAGTTCTCCGTGACACGTGAGCGTCAATTCCGCCTCGCAACCTGCCGGAAGCTCATCATCAAGTACAAGTTCGACCGTTTGATCGGCTGCCAAGCAGCGGATCTCGCTGCATTTGATGGGGGTTGAACGACCGGCGATGGTCACAGAGACGTCGAACACGTGTAGCTCTAGAGCGTGGCAAGTAATGGTACGCGTCGTCTGCGAGACAGAGAAAAGAACGCGCTCGCTCACCTCGAAACGACAGTGATCGAGGTCCACGACGTAGTCGAGGAAGTACTTGGAGGGAGCCACACAAGTCGGCAGACGTGCGAACGGCTTGGTCATGATTGAGAAGGGGGTCTGGAAAATGAGACGGAAGATCGCGATTGGCTATTTGGGTAATTTACACGGACTAGCTTATTATCCTAAAATTCGAACCGGATCCCTAAGGTAAAATCCTTCACTACGGTAGCTTGAAAAAAGTAAGGGTTATTAGTTTTCGAGTTATTTGAGATTGGCAAGTTCGATCCTGTCCCGGAACACGGTGAAAATTTCCGCTGGTCCGTTTACGATAGGAGTGGGGTAAGATGGTGGCCAGTTGCGGGCAACACTTCAACCTAGCCATTATCCTCCATGTGGGAGTCAATCAAGTGTAGGAAGCCACAAAACCGAGGCGTGGCAGCGGTTGGCTCGAACGAAATTGCATTTCGCGCCGTCCTGGATACGATAAATAGTGCTCAATGATGCGCACTAGCGACATTAGCACAACGAGTGGCCGTGAGTTAGAAAAGTAGAGCGTTTCACCGCTGGATACAGGCGACCTTTCGCAGCTCTACATTCTGATCTCGCTCCAAAAATAGATTCTCCACATAATGCACGCTCTATGCAATTACACTTGTCTTAAGACACGGCGGAAGAGGGTATGGGTACTAAAAAATAGTTGCTGACCAGTTTTTATAGACCGCGTACGATTCGGCGAGACAAACTTCATCTGACCACTTTGCTATTCGCAGTAGGATGACGACGCCCGTCACTACATCGCAGCGCCCGGCGCACGCCTTTTGCCTCACTAAGCGTCGGTCCTACACGTCGCCGCATTTGGTGCGAACGCGCTCCAAGAACAACACGTTGTGCGGCGTTCCAGGCGAGCGCGACGCTCCGGTCGCCACCGCGCCGAAGACGGCGCCAACTGCAACGACCGCTTCACGCCTGACGCGCAAGACTCAGAGCTTCAGCGAAGGCTTGGAGCCGACCACAGGCGAACGTCTGACTGAAATCGCCGTCTTTCTTGGAGGCTCGTGCAACCCCACAACCTGGAGGCATGACGTCGCCATGCCCATGCTGGACGCTGCAAGCGTGCACTATTTCAACCCACAGGTGGACGAGTGGTTCGAAGAACTCATCCAGATCGAGGCTAAAGCCAAAGAGACAGCGCAGATTGTGCTCATGGTCGTGGACGGCCTCACCAGGTCCATCGTCTGCATCAACGAAGCTGTCGAATACATTTGCAGAGGCAGGAAAGTCATGCTCGTAGTCGACGACATTGAAGAGGGCACGGAGGTTGCGGGAAAAGTGCTCTCCCAGACGGAGCTGGCTGATCTCAATGGTGCACGCCAGTGTCTACGTGATCTAGCACACAGGAGAGGCGTTGGCTTGTTTCGTGACGTTGCAGCAGCGATAGAGGGATGCATCGCTTACCTCACTCAGACCAGTACCTCAAAGTCTCGACCGGAGATGCCGCGTCTTCGTAAACGCTCATCGATCGTACTGAACAGATGGTCCGGCAAGCATCGGCCTCATCGCGTAACGTCGCGTTCGCACTCTTCACGACTGCTAAAGTCCAACAGCAGCGGCAGCAACCAGAGCATTACAGACGACAGTGAACAGAGCAGCGATTCACCCGGGGTATCGTCTCCGTCACAGTCGATCGTGAACCAATTAGGCTGCCAGTTGTGTAGCGACTACACGGGCGGCTCCGTTTACCTAGGAGGCAACTTGACAGCGACGTCTTGGAGACAAAAAGTGGCGATTCCGTTTCTTCGTAAGGCTGGTATTCCAGTGTACGTCCCATTCGCGGACTATTTGCAGTTTGGGCTGTCGACCACAGCGGAGAAACACGTGCAGGCACTATCCGAGCACTTCCGAGAGATTGAAACGCAAAAGGCAACCGCAGAGCTCATCTTGTTTGTAATTCCGCGGAACTTGCGCTCGATCGCCGCCATGACCGAGGCAGTGGAACTTGTGTCGAGTCATCAAGCCTTGTTGCTCGTCATTGAGCCTGTGGAGGAAGGTTGCATGGTGGAAGAAGGAGCGGCCATCGCTGGTCGTGAATTTAAAGACCTCGCTCGAGCACGGGCGTATCTGCGGGAGATGGCGGAACGGAATGACGTTGCAGTCTTCGAGTCTGTCCCTCATGCGGTCGAGAACATTGTTGAGAGGTTAGAGTAGATCGATGCAAAAAAATATTATACCGAATTACCTTAGTTATGCATTACACCCAATCTGCAGTGCAGAGACCAGAAATTGCGTGTCCCGGCTATCGGTATCTTCGAACAAACAGTCTATTTAAATTTGAGCAAGTTCACGAAAAAGATCATCAAAGGGATCGACGCCATGAATAAATGAGGATACGGCGGCAATTAAATTTGCTAGCTGGTAAATCAGGGTAGAACGTGTGAATTGCGGACGCAATACTACCGTTCTTGTCTAGATACTCTAGTACCCTCAGCTTGTGAGAAGCAGTGTACGCCGTAATGGTGTTCGTTGGTGCTTGGCGGCCCTTGCCACCAGGTAGGCGAGGCCTCCCCTTTGGGCGTTTACGTTGCGTTGGACTCATCTGCGGCTTTGAGAAGTGAGACCAGTACTAGATAATGTACGCAAATTACTGGTTGTCAAGCCGTGTAATTGATAACTAAGGATGCACGGCTTCCTTTCCCACTCAGCGTTTGGCGGCTTCTGATTGGCCACATTGAAGTGTAATTGATAACAAAGAGTAATTCATAACTAAGGTTATTCGGTACTGGGAATACCTCAGAATGAGTAATGGACAGCCCACACAGGATTAATTGCGTGAGCGTAACGTAAATGGGTCAACGTTCGGACAACATCCAAAATATCGTACTTAGTATGTGATTAGACTGGAAAAAGCAAAAAGACGTTATTGTTTCGGTTTGTCAATCTGCGCCAGTGGCTCCGTCAGCGGCGACGTTGGTGGCGGTGAGAGCGCAGGCGGCGATGGCAGCAGCGATGTAAGTCTTTATTATTGAGTTGGTTAGTATAAGAAGTGGAGAAGCAGATGATGGTTTTTTGAGCGGGCTAATGCTAACGTTATTCTTTCGGTTTGTCAATCTGCGCCAGTGGCTCCGTCAGCGGCGACGTTGGTGGCGGTGAGAGCGCAGGCGGCGATGGCTGCAGCGATGTAAGTCTTTATTATTGAGTTGGTTAGTAGAAGAAGTGGAGAAGCGGATGATGTTTTTTTGAGCGGGCTAATGCTAACGCTATTCTTTCGGTTTGTCAATCTGCGCCAGTGGCTCCGTATGCGGCGACGTTGGTGGCGGTGAGAGCGCAGGCGGCGATGGCTGCAGCGATGTAAGTCTTTGGTTTTTTAGCATCTTTTCGTCCATCCACTGAGCTAATTGGAGCAGATGCATGTGCAGCCGCCGTTGGATATACGTACCAGCAACATCTAGCTCAAGATTTTACGTAAACATGAAGGAAAATGACCCTTACCGTTAAAGTAACAAATTGTTGTTTGATTTGACAAACTGTACGTAACGATAAAGGAAATTGACCATACAGTTGGAATCAACATCAACGGCAATCTGCAATTTACAGTCATGGCAAAACGACGATATGCCAATGCAGCTGAAGATGAGTTATCTTGTACAGGAAAACCTGATGCAATTCAGGCCACTGCAGCGCAAGAAACAAAGCGTCAACGAAAAGCTCAGTACCGCAACGGGACCTCCGATGAAGCTTGAACCTGACGTGAAGAGACGCAAAACCAGCTAAGCGTTGGCAGTTTTGGTTGATACCAAATACATTGCCCAGCCTTTAATTCTACTTTGCTATTGACAATTATGCTAACAACCGTATCAAAAAAAATTAGCCATCTTAATGTTAGCTTTCCGAACCTTTTTTGTCGAAGAATGTCTGGGATCACCTCCCAGTCGCAGGGGGTCCCCCCGCAGAGACAGCAAATGTCGACATATTTTTAAAAATATGTATTCCCAGTGTAAGTCGCAGACGATCTAGTGAAAAGAATGGAAAATGACTTGTATTGATTGCACCGAATTGCATGATGTACCCATTGACCGGGTAGGGGCCAACATTAGAAAATGCATTTTCATTCGCTAATCTACCGAGTCCATGCGTAGCTATGAGCGAGCAGAAGACAACAGTACCGCATAATCAAGTGGCCCGCAAAGATCGCAAGGGTCTGGGTCCGTGGCGAGGCACCGTACGCAGCGCGACGCAAATATTTCTGTGTATCCTCCGCTCGTGCTGATCTCTTGAATGCTAAACGTAGAAACCCGCTGGCTTCATTTTACACCCGGAACTCTTTATGAAGGAATGTATCGGCTTGGACGTGTCCATCCGCGTCATGAACGGCGCCAAGTGGAAGGGCGTTCTGCAAGAAGTTCGTGACGAGTCGTCACGAACTTCACTGACGACAGAACACATGTATTTACTGTAGGATAAGTATATTCCTGACGGAGACCCCACCCCTACTGTAAGCTAAGAAAATCCACAGCCAATCGCTGGACAGCATGAACTTTTATTTGCTCAAACCACCCAATAACCGCTATTTAGGGGTAGGGGTAGTTCATTCCAGCTTATTTCCGGAATTGTCCGGCTTTCTCGAAATTTCGAGATAAGACGCCTTAGTAAAATCAAGTTACATCATGTATTATCGCGTAAAAGGCGTCTGTGCCAGAGAAAAAAATTCATGCGGTTGAAGAGTAAATATAGACTAAAACTTCACGATGAGGCGCCATGCAACCGACCAGCTTGCATTACGCGCGGGATTCACACTGCGGGATGCAATGAGGAGAGCTTCACGAGGTCTGGACACTCCTGCTGGCACAATAGAGCAAGAGATTGCGGCGGAGAAGATGTTTGAGGAGTTCCTCACTTCAATTGGATTATCGAAAGTCGATTTAGATGGCATACATAAAGATCATAGAGAATTAGCTAGTCTCCCGACCCAGAACATGTACTCATTGCCAACAGCTTTTTCGATTTACATACATACAGACGAAGAAAAGCAACAAGGCGAGAGCGGATGGACTACTAGCAAAATCGACAGCGCTAGGGTATTTTTCACAAGCTGTGAACATGCTTCGCGAGCGCTACTTGGTGACCCTAAGAGAATTGCCAAGATTCGGGACAAAATGGCTAGTTACATAGAAGAGAGGAATTTTTCGCGCAAATGTGCAAACCAATGACGCTCCTGGGTGTAACGTGGATGATCTAAGTGTACTCGTTGGGTATCTAATTGCGAAAGCTGACGTGGCTACCGGTTTGAAGTCTGTACATGATGCGGCTCTGTTGACTATGATGTGGCATACATTTGGAAGAGCTGTCGATACCTGCTTTGCACGTAAACAACAGCTCTCGATTTCAGCTTCTGGAGAGCTTTTCCTACACATTGCCCGGATCAAAACCTCTAAGGTTCAAGGCGTCTCAATATATAAGTCCCCGGAGAGATGGCAGCAGTGTATGCTTCACGCATTCGGGTTGCTGTTTATCTGCTACGACGATCCCTCCGAATATTTGTTTCCGTTGGCACCTAATTTCGCAGAGTCCGACCTTCCTGGTAATAAACCGTATTCACAAGAGGAAGCTGTTTTGTACTGGGGTCAACTATTAGAAGACGATAACAGCACGTCGGAGCCGCCCCAAAAGCGAGAGAGGAAGAGACCAAATATCGCAAGTTATATTACCGAGGTCATTAGAGATTCGTTGAAGTCGATGCCTCCTGATCTCAGCCTAACGGTGACGCCGAATATAACCAGCCACTCCATTCGCCGTGGAGCCGCTGCGTACGCCAATGCGTCGCCAAAGCTGTCGATTCAGTGGATTTCTACTCGCGGGGCTTGGCTGTTGGAGTCACTAACCAAGGCGTTTGCCTACATTGGAACGACAACAAAGGAGGATCAGAGCGTAGCCAAAGTGTTAGCAGGGTACCAAGCTCCAGACCTACCTGTGGTAACGCCGACAATTCGTGACCTACAGCAGCGTTTGACGGTACTGGAGTTTGGTCAGCTTGTGACCCTTCGAGACGAGCTGTACCGCCACGTACTTGGTTTCCAGGACGCTCGATTTAATGTCGCATTGGGCGTCGTTGATTGCACGTTTGCATCGCTGCTAATGCACATGGATGAGGTTCGCATCCACATCGAAAACACCACCAGCACCTCGGTCTCGTCGCGCTACATGTACGAGCTGCATCGCAGTATCGCCTCTTCCAACGCTCGTCTTGGCTCCTGCAGCACGATACGAACATGCTGTGAGTGGGGGGCGTACCTGAGAGCTCACTGGAAGACGGCAAACCACGTGCAGCTTAGCAATGCCGTCGCTGGTAACGACACGCTGCTATCATCCACTCTTAACAACATGTTAGCCCAGCTTGTGAACATTAGCGAGCGACTTGGTCGCTTTGAAGACTCGCAAGCCCAGATGCAGAGCCAGGCCTTAGGGAGTACTCAGACGAAACAGCAGTCACCACAGCTACCTACTGCTGTTGAGGTTGTCGTCCCAGCTTCAGCGTCAGCCTCCACCCTTGCTGGATGCCTGCTCAACTGGTACACTAACCACATATGGCAAACGGTTAAAGGTATGAAGGAACAAAACCAGCGTGCCGAAGCAAAGGCAGCAGTGAACATAATGATGGTACTGTACCAGAAGCCGTACCAAGTCCCAGAGGAGCCTCCACGTGCCGACGTCGCAGCTTACAGTGCCTGGAAGCACGTAGTCTGGGAGCTGGCACTAAAGCTGGATACAGCCGCGAACCAGCGTCTCCACGCCTTCGACCAAAAGAAACCAGCTCGCAAAGCTTCGTCCCTTCGCAAGCGCTGGCGCCTGCTGCGTACGTCGCATCCTGACGCGTATCGCTCGCTTGGAGCACAGTATCTTGTCTTGAAATGCAGTGGGTCCCTCGTAGATGCCTGCACACCTCCATCGCATCTGTGGGCAGCTGTTGACTTGGATTGACAAGCCGTTGGGCAGCACAGTTCAGCAAACATGAGCACGAGCAAACAGCACTCACCAGCATCAACACCATTATAAGGCAGTACACCACAGTAGATAGTTCAGCAATCAGTACAGCCTACATTACAAAGCATCACACACCACACACAATGCACACAGCATGTTACAGCACACAGTACACAACATAGCAGCACACGCACATGCACAGCCCAACACAACACTGCAGCATACGCACAACACACAGCACAGCACGCCCAATCCAGCAATACACGAGCAAATGCACATCACAGCATGTACATACATATACCGCATCACACGCGTCGCTCCATAGCACACAGCACAGCACCAGCTATTGCAAACACACCACAGAGTACAGCACAAACACAATCCACGCAGCACAGCTTACAACTATCTGCCCCCGGCTGGATTCGAACCAGCGGCCTGGAGACGTAGTCTCCCGCTCTACCGCTGAGCTACGGGGGCGTTGGGGTCGGAGAAGGCACGCACCGTGGTCTGGAGTTGGAGCTGTGGCTGGAGGCTTGAGGGGTACGCTTGAAAATCGCTGAATGAACAGCGAAGAAGACTGTCGCAAGGTAGCCACCTATTTTCAATTCATTGAATTGTTATTTAAGCCTATCCACTGTCATCCGAAAAAAATAATCCGACCGTGATTGGCCGGATTCCACCCGGCATGACTCAGTCATTCCGTATGGCGACCATCCGGACTGGTGTCCGGAATCGGCCAATTACTGTTTCAGCACACAGCAAATCATTTGACTTGACTTCTGTATACTTTTGACCTTCTGAGAGTAAAGGACAGCAGTAGACATGGATTTGACGATTAGTAGACACATGCAACCAGGCAACAGTAGACACGCAAAATACTACTACATGTACATGTACAGTACATGTAGTAGTAGTGCAAAGGTCGGAATGCAGATCGTGATGGAGAACAGCTATACGTACAAAACCACAGTATAAGTTGTAGCTTGGTTGTTGCATTTACAGCATACGGGGTCAGCATCGCGCGTAGACTGCGCTGATGACCAAGAATTGTACTTCAAAATGAACACAATTTTATTCAAACTTCAGATATCGAAGCCCATACAAAGATACCTGTACCTTAAGTACTGCATATCGCCGCTAGTAGCACCTTCAAAAGGCAGATTTGCACCACAAAACAGCTCAAACGCAGTCATGACGAACACTCCACAGCTGTAACTATCCGTCTGAGCGCCAAGATCAGATTCGTAACGTCGAACACGGTATCTTGACTGGACAGGCTCCGGCAAGAGAGGAATGATCGACTTCGCTACGTCTCGAACATCGTCTAAAAAGCTGGAGTACATAGGATCGTAGAAAGTAACTTCACGGCGGTCGAGGCTGACCATGATACTACACCAGTGTATCCCTTTGCAATTTATTGGGAGCAGAATGACCTCCGTCGTCAACCCCGACACCAACTCCTTGAATATTTGCGTGTGAAAAGAAACTACTCCATCGATCACAATGCAGAGACTTGACGGGTCGATATAAACAATGTCAGGTCGAGCTGAAAAAAGTTTATCCAGCAATATAGTGATAGTTGTGTCTCCGAGTGTATTGTTCCCTGCTAGTTCCAGCATCTCCATCTATAAAACAAATATAATTAGATGGTTTACTTCAACATAAAGTATTACAACGTGACGGTACCTGAGCGGCAAAAAGTGGCGCTGATAGCAACTTCTCCACAAGACTGGGCTCTCTGGTGACGTGAAATTCAGGAATAGTAGTAGTAGTACTAAAGTCAATACTTGGGATCCAATTGATCGTTTTTCTTTACAGCAGACACCGCTTTGGTCGCCTTGTGCCATAGTTTCATAGCCGCTAGGGTAGACGTCGTAAGGATTCCCACACTACCAATCTCCAAACACACATCCCTCTCCGACAGTCCTTTGGTCTTACGCTGCAAAGCTGTAACCCTTTGCTCGCACCGCCTAATAACCGTCCAAGGCAGTATAAAGGCCACTTCTTCGGGGCGTAAAATTCCTGCAGCAGACATCATGTTGAGAATGTAGGCAGAAAGTTTTGGAGTTCTGAAAAATCGAAAAACCTCGAACTTTTCGCACAGTGTCGCGGTTTGGTAGTAAGTGCTGTCGAAAAAGACGAGTTCAGCAGAGCCAAGCTAGGGCTTTTAGCAGCGCCCACCTCAATGGTATCCGCACCTTCTGTTGCAACTTCTTGATCTGTGAGCATGTTGGGGCCATGAGCATCTTCGTCCACCTCCACCATTTCATTAACGGCGCCATCAAATTCTTGATTCGACTCCAGCGGGCGATCTGGATCGCACGTAGAAGTACTGCTCTGTCCAGGAATATTGCAAAGCCCAAGAGAATCGACTGTAGACGGCAACAGTCGGGAAGGCTGGGTGGTGCCTGCGGCAGCGTTAGACGTGCTGTCTGTCTCATTAGACACAGTTTCACGCGCCAAATTAAGAATTCCAGGGGTCGCGTAGCGCGCGATAAAGCGCCCAACTTACGTCTTTTGGGTGGACAAATTCGGGAAATCGGTAATAAACTCGTCGATATTCCGGCAATAAAATAGCTTTTTACCAAACGTGCCTCTGCCATCTGCTCGTAAATTGTCGAAATAGTCGAGGACGCGATCTTCATAAGGCTTCAGCTTTCGCTTTGGCCCACTTCCTTTTTTTCGCTTGCGCTCTGAGCCGACCACCTCATCCGATAGATCCCAGTATTGTCTTTTCATATCTCTTAGTGACGTCGGCTTGACGCATAACTCGCGGACGGCATCCTCCAAAGACCACTCGGGGTGCGCCTTCCATACCCTTGTTATAGCGATCTTCTCCTTTTCAGTGCGCTGGACGCACACGCGTTTTGCCATCCGCGATTTTTCCTTCCAAACGAGAACTGACTTCCTTTTGCAACCACTCGTTTCTGTATCAGATTTTATCAGATTTGTGGGTACATGAAGACTCCTATTAACTCGCGTCGAGTTAATGTGAAACAGGACGCGGCTCCTATTAACTCGCGTCGAGTTATGTGAAACAGAACGCGGCTCAAGTTAGTCGCGAAACCAAATATGCAATACACGTAACGAAAAAAGCATGTCGCTGTAAAATTAATTTCATTTTTTAAAGGAAACGTCCAGCATCTGGGTATTCTTTCAGCGGAGTAAATACTGAATATCTAAAGCTGGAGAAGCGACTGGGGGCCTTCCTACACGTCTGCGAATCGGGAGCTTTTCTTCGAATTCTGCATTCTGACGAGTCGGGGTGCACTTCGTGTGGGTTGTGCGGCCGGAGCCAACAGCGCCGCTATGTCGATTCTCGATACTGTCGAGAGTGTGGAGGAATCAATATTCCTTGCTGTTGTCTGAAAACGACTTTCATTTGTTACCGCTGCACCTTGCGGTTGAAAGTCATTGGTAGCGAGATCGGAAAGCCCAAATGGCTCCGATCCCTGAATCCCACAGTGACCAACAAAACTGGTGTAATCGTCGCCGATGCATCTACTTCCACCCAATCTGTAGTTTTGGTAAGTACTATAGCTACTTTCTTCCAATTGGGCACTTTCAGGTTGAAATTCATGAAGAAATGCCTCCACCGACGAATTTATGGCGTCCCAGCTTGGTGATGAAGCGACGCTTGGTCCTATAGGCGCTGTACAACAACCGCTCTCGACATACAACAGCCTTTGATCTTCGCTGCTTAATACTGATAACCGCGCTGGTTTCGCCTTTGTTTTGCGAGCGAGCCGTACTCTACGATCCTTATACTGCATGTGCAGCCCACCAACACCCGGTACACTGAGCCCCAATGCCATGCGACCACATATCACATGAGCGCAAGATAGGAACTTCTTATAGAAGGCACACGTGCACTCAAATGTGCGAGTACGAACTAGCCAACCTCCAGGCGGCATTCCAGCATGATGCGCCCGTCGGACTGACCATTTCACATCTAACTTGTAAAACGTTGATGCCACCTTTTTTTCGACATCCGTCAGACATTCTTCAGAGCTAATCAGCTCTCTTCCCGTAGCTTCATGCACAGTAGAATCACCAATGCCAGAAATGTTGCTAATATCGCTGTTATCGCGGTCTTGATCACCAATATATCGAACACGAACGACGGATTCCTCATGTGTACGGAATACCGCTACCCGCTGGGTTGTGACTAGAACTTTTGCTAGCTTTTTGGCATCTTGCGGAGGAGCCTGCAGGGACGATCGCCGATAAGATGGTACACAAATTGAGTAGTCTTCCGCAATAGTGAGAAGCTTCAAAATCAGGCGTCTAGTGTCAACAGCCTTTCGCTGTGTATATCTCTTAATGCTCGCATTGAATACTTCACACGGGTTGTTCGTTGTTGCAAATCCGCCGGGTGAATGGTAAATTTGCCAACGCCAGAATCGACTTCTTAGCCATTGAGTATAAAAATAGCCAACAAAATCTTGCAATCGAGAGTCACGCCTCCATTCATTCATCACTTTACTCCATACCGATCTCAACTCTTCCTCACTAAGTGTATAGTGCATATCCATAATCCCACGATAAACAACTCCACGGATCCCATCTGGCAAGTGCCGAATCCGTTTTCTTACATTGTACAATACATGAAAAAAACACATCAAGTACTTGGAGTTGCTGAAACCAGCGATTTTCACCAAGCCATTAAGCTGAGCAGCTTCTGCATCACCCATCACAGCGTCAATTCTTAATGCAGTCTTCATATGTGTTTGAAATACCCTCGCGAAAGCTCCGACAGCCTCGTAATACTCACTTTCAGGTCGCTGGCTAACTATGAATAATCCAGCAAGATGATAAACACGCCGTTTGTCGGTGAAACCGCAGGTAATAACTGGATAGCCTAGGTCACTGAGCTTAAATGTGGCGTCCAAGTGAAAAATAAGAAATGGCTCCTTGCTCTGTAGCGCCACGATGCTTCGTAATAGTTTTAAGGTAGTTATTCCCAAAATCAGTGGCTGCTCGTCCTCTCCATTTCCTACAAATGGGTATCCATCCTCGTCCTCAATATTGCCAAATATAAAGCGGTTTCAGGATCAATGTCGACCGTATATGCCTTAGACCGGACGAGTTCCTGGACGCGTTGAATTGATTTTTCGATCCTTGAAGCCAGCGAATATATCGAACGCTACGCTGAACCTGGGCGTACGACGGGTAGCCAAGAACTGGTTTTGGGAGATCAGGTGCTCGCAGTAGGCTGCTCCAAATTAGACGAGGTGGAACTGCGTTTTCATCCATCCGATGTATGAACGCCTTCATTTCCGGTGTCACTTTTGGGCGCGGCGGGACCGCACAAGCAACATCACCGCGTAGATGAGCAGCTTCGTTGGTAAGTACAATCCAGTGAGAGCTTACAGCACACTGACGTACTTTCCAGCGAACAGGGCATTTCGTAGAGACTCCAGTAGGTTGACACGTTACGCTCTTGCAGTGCAGATGTCTCTCTATCATTTTGTGGTCTCCAGGACAAATTGAGCACACAAATGGCCTCACACCACGTGTAACGGGGTACGTAGCACTAAGTGTACCCTGGTTACATGAAGTGTGACACTTCACACTTCAGGAGTATGACATGTCATACTCCGGGATATTTGGTACAAGGTACCAAGGTCATTCAAAACCAACCATTGGTTTTATGACATTGCATTTCTATAGGTAACTGATAGTTTGTATTAACCTCAAACTTAACCTACCTATAAATATACTCAGTTTACAATCTACCTTATTTAGGTCACTTCGCTCTCTTTAATTAAAGAGGGGACCAGTGAACTGCCGTTCACTGAGAGTTTGTATACTCTCGGAAGATAACTTCCTCTAGTGCAAGGTGCTGTGTGACCCCGTCACACTTGGTAGCACTTGTAGTCAATCCACGCCATCGCGGGTAGACTACCTGAACCTCCGAAGTTCGTTGCCATGGATAGGAACGACTTCTCCCATATGAACGACTCTCAGTTCGAGTCGGTTCGGAAGATGGCAGGCATCTTCGGGATGGAGGCCCTGCAGAGCCTGGTGGTATCAACACCGGCTGAGCAGCTCGAGCGCGTCAATGCATTCGACGCGTACGAGCAGGGCCTCATCGCGCATGTGCGGGAGAACCTGCAGGCTCCGGCGGCGGGAGCAAACCCGCCTCACCCGAAGCCAATACGGCTGAAGGTAAAGCCGTATGAAGGGAAGGAAGGCGAGAACCTTCACTTCTGGGTCCGAGAAGTAGAGCTCGCGATGGACGCGGCTCTGATCTCGACCGAGCAACTGCGTGTTGCTTTTGCACTCTCCAACCTTAGCGGTCGTGCTAAGAGTTGGGTGTACACTCGGGAAGCGACATCCCCTGGATGTTTCACATCCTGGGCTCAGCTGTGCGAACAGCTCCGAGCCGCGTTCCTCCCGGCGAACTACGAGTACCGCCAGCGTTCGCGCTTCCTCGCGTGTAAACAAGGAAGACGCGAACTGCACGAGTATGTGCAAGAGATACGGGAGCTCCACGGCGTCCCTAGTGGGAAACCCACTCAAT